ATGCCTACTCTTTAAACATTGAACAGAATGTTTAAACACAATACTATCTTGTATAAATGCAAAAATATTTTTTTCATGGTGCTAATGAGCTTCCATAATTGTCACGACAAATGCTGTTTATAAATATATTATGACTTACTGTACATTTTAAACAATATTTATATTATTTTTGCTTTTTAAATAAAAGATGGTTAAAATTACATACTGTATGCTATCTCTGTATTGCAGCTGACTATCAAACAACCATTTTCCACAACAGACTTGTCCACTTTGTTATGAACTAGTGGAGTTTTGTTTACAGTTTACTGTACTGTCTGTCACCTTTAAGTTTTTCCATCAATAAAAGTTTTTTTTTATTCATGGGATAATTTCATATTCGTAATAAACACTGTTATAACAAGTTTACAAAATATTTGATAAGCAGTTAAATAGATATCTTCTGTTGCATTTTAAAGATTAATATTGTTTTAAATTAGCTTGGTGGGTGGTGTATTTCGGAAATATTATAAGATATCCCAAACGTAACACCAACAGCTATGAATTAGCTTATCACCTGTTGTATAAATTAGGAAGATGTTTATAAAGGCTGAAGTACAAAGCTTAAAAGCTTAAATAAAATATAAAATGTCCCCTATAATCAGGAATGAAAATCAAACAACTGTATCATGGGTGGGTTTTGTTTCCTGGTGGAGGCCCAAACTAGACTAGCATTTACAGTATTCACATTAAAATGTACATTATTATTCACAATTACAAAGACTGTGAGTTTCTTAGTCCAGGCCTTTTACAGTCCAAAGCTACCCCTCGCTCTTCCCCTCCAAGACAGACCAACCATAATTAAGAACATAAGAATATAAGAAAGCTTAAAAATGAAAGGAGGCCATTTGTCCATTTAGAAATAACAACAGCTTAAGTAGGCAATGCTGGTTTCTAAACAAAAATGACTCCACAGGGAATTCTGCTCTCTATAACTGATGATAAATTGTGAGGAACATTTCTCCAAACCATTTAATGCATACAAGCGATACAAACTCTGTCTGGCAGACACTAAAAGGTAATAAATCTTCCTTGAGATATAAAAACAGCCCTTTGTGCATAAATTCATTTTGATCTCTCTAGACCTGTTAGGTTTCAGTCCTCAAAAACCAAGTCCAAATTATTGGAGGTTTACCATGTAAGAACTCATTCACTGTGTCTTGCTTCTTCCAAAGGATGCAAGTGAGAGTTGTGGTCGACCCTACCTCTGATATTAACATAAACTTGACTTAGGCTTAGGCTAAAAGACATAGGCTATGCCATGTTTACGTTCAGTCCTAGCACCAACTTTCCTATTGGTGAGTAGTTGCAGAGAACACACTAAACAACCCTCGACTGGACCTGCGAGGTCTTCCAGTCTGCATAACTCTAGACGCACAAGAGCCTCTCAGCAGGTGGTCTTGGAGGGGAAGAGTGCAATCTGTATTTATCCCCGACTACTGGTCTGTAATGGCTAAATGGTATAAAATATTCAATGGCTATCATAATCCGTTAGATATAACTAACATGCCCCCCAGCATACAACAATATAATTGTCTGCTCTTGTATATTTATCAGTTAAAATATTTATCTGTTCATAATTTGTATATGCTCAATCCTATTCAAGCATCAGTTTGTCTTTAGCATATATACTAGTTCAACATTTGCAATGCACTGTTAATGTAATAGCCGCACTTCGGAATGTTCCTACTTTGATATTTCCCAGGAACTGAGAAATTTATTGGTGGGTAAAAGCCGAAAGTAAGTTAATTGATGGAAAATGTCAATGCATTCATAGTGTCTGCGTGTGTTTTGAAAAATTGACATAACCGGCACCTTCTTAGATTTGTCCCAGAGCGAAATTCAGCAGAACTCCAGAGATTTGGTTTATGAGAGTCAGGGTCAGATTTGGAGCTCCAATGTCTTGACCATATTTTATTTGTCCCCAGGCAGAGTGTATGGTTAGGTCAGCGGAGTATGGGTACTGTACTAAATTGCTAGTGACTAAAGGTCAAGTTCCCAAGGTTTTTACACTTACAAGAAAAAAAGGGTTAGAAGTGTATTTTGTTGCCTCTTTTTGCTAATTTCACATGTGATTAAATTATGACGTTAATCAGAAATGAATGGCACCAATGCCAGTTTCCATTTTATCTTTTTATGTAAATATATAATCTTATATGGTCATACAATGGTTACAAATGACAGGAGACCAACAATTCTCATTTGGGAGGAGCACCAATTTTCATTTTGTTGTTCTTTTTATTTAATTTCTTTGTGTGTTATAATGGTATACACCTCTTGGCCAGGCCATCAGGTTTCTGAAAAAAAACAAGAGTTTACAATAGTTGCAGTTGACCTCTCCTTTTAGGTAAAGAATTAAATAAAATTGTCTGTTCTGGACCCCCACAACCTTTCGTATAAAAAAGAGCTGCCTGATTTCAGTCTTAAATGTCCTTATTAATGCTGGTTTTGAATCATATGTTTTTATTTTAAGTCTGCGGAAGTTAAGCAGTAACATTACCTAGTATGGCATGTTCAGATTTATGAGTTTGATCACATGACTATGTATCGTTTCATGGTGTTTAGTTAGTCAAAGTTTCCTTAGATAATGATATTGGCACTATAGGAAAGGGACTATAAAAGCTGCTTCTGAATAAAATCAAAGGTTATTTTCAGTAAGTAACAGTATAAAATTGCAGGTATGAACTTATGTTCTATGAACTCTGGGTCTCCTACAGATGCCAGTGTTCAGTATATTTTGTGAAGAACACTAAGGGCATTTGAAGGAAGTTTAACTGTTCTGTTCTTCTGTTATCTTTATGAACTTGATGAATTTGGTTTTAAGATGAAACTGCTGTTGATGTTTGAATCTGTAAGCAGTGCAAGTGGAGTTTTTATGCAACTCAACAGAGACATTAGTAATATTTCCCTATTTGCCTAATATGGATGGTCTTCTGGAGGCAAAAAACAACTTTTAGTTTGTTTACTTTGGCCATAGCTTCCTCCAGCTGTTCTTTCTTCTTGTTCTACCCTCAGGAGTTGCAGGGCTAGATTGTTGACCCTCGTTTATATCCTGAAAACCTGAAGTGTGATTGAATGATATTAGGTTACTTTGCACAGTGAATTCCCTCGGCGCCCACTGATGTTTAAATACAGACTCCCAACTGCACATGAAATTCCTGATGTCAGCCGTGTAATTGAATAAGTCGAAATCCTGCTGTACAATATGGAACGGATGAAGATATGGATTTCACTTACCCACCCTGCATTTCACTGGACATTATAATTGAATCCATACTTCTGCTTAGACAGCACAGCACTTTTGTCACTAAAAGCAGCAGTGAACAAAACAGAAAGTTTAGATTTTTTGTACATAATAAATTTTATGAATTTTATTAATGGGATGCTAATTCCCTGGTCTGTGTTGTTGCAATATTAAAATGTATTTTATCAGCCGAGTCCTTCTAATTATTGCCAATAGTATCTTTATGTGGCTTTAGCAATATAATTAGATGATATCGCTGAGTGCTGTACAAGCAGAATGCATGTGTTTATGGAGTAAGCCACAGTTTTTCATCAGATTTACTTTTTTACCCAGAGTTGCCTCTTCCTTTTTCTCTAGTCCACTTTTTTTTGTCATGCTTCTTTTTTTTATAATTCACTGTTTTTTACTACACTAAACTGTGGTAGTACTACATTATTAAATTATTTTACTGTATGTTTATGAAGGTACTGTAGCATGGCATATTGACCTACTATATTCTGGTAAATTCAGAGGACCATTGCACAGTGAAAGCACAGAAAAAGCAAGTAAAATACAGAAAATGATGTACAGTAACAAATGCAGTGAGTTTCCCAAGATACACCTCATCAAGAGATTGTGCCTACTTTTTCCTTCCTAAGATACTATGCCTGAATTTGTCCAGAGTTCCAATGGAAGCAACAAGTACGTAATTTTTTATGTTACCGCACCATAGTGATACAAGAGATGATTAATGGGTTTGCAGCATAAAGTTGTCGGATCTTTCCTATCTTTATTAAGGCACACGTATGTCCAAATAGTTGTTTAATTTTGTGTAGATACTGTAGGCCTCACTTATGTTTTAGATGGCTAAAAACAGAAGAAGCATACAAACAGAAGGTGTAATAAGCAAACAATAGTAAGACAAAAGAAGCCAATAAGCAGAAATAAATTAAAACAAAGAAGCCAAACTGCCAAAGATAAGGAAAGAAAACCAAGGTAATTGGGAAGACAGAGGGAAGAGGAGAGGAAGAAAATATCAGCTTAGGAAATCATCTGCTGTTTTACAGGAGCAGACAGGATGAATCAGGTTTAACTTATATGATACGCTTTTCATTCATTATATGGGGATGAGAGGAGGACCTCAACTGGGAGCAAAGCCAAACCACTGAGATTTGTATGTGCTCACAACCATATTACATCTCAATATGCACTGTGAAACCTCATAGCATGTCTTCTATAATAATAATAATAATAATAATAATAATAATATTTTATGTGATGTAACACCTTTCAAGGTTCATCATCTTTGCGAGAACAATAAGACAACACAACAATAAAATAATTGAGACAGTATTCTACCTGTTAATATGTTCTGAACATTTTATCTCTTACAGAATAAGAATATGGTGTGTGCAATAATGTGTTTTGAAGACCTTACCTTTCACTGAATGCTGTCTTCTTTGTTTATATTTAAACTGAAGACCCTGTCTCATATTACAAGAGGGTCATTTACAACATACTGCATAGTGCAGGCACAGCTCTGTAGCACTTAACATTCAAAATACACTTGTAAGCAATTCTACCTTGGTGGAGGATATACTGTACTATAAAAACAGTTAATAAAATCCATGTGTGTGTGTTTTTTTTGTGTAGGATTAAAAGGTTATGATCATCTTCACTTGATTTCAGCTTCATGCGGACTCTGTACCACATATGCACAACAATACACTTTGTTTTGTAGGGGCTCCCACAGGACACTATCTGAGAGAGGATATGAGCTACTGGCAGCTTCACGCCCATTACTACCCACCACTGCTGCGCTCTGCCACAGTGCGAAAATTCATTGTGGGGTATGAAATGTTGGCACAGGAACAAAGAGACCTCACGCCTGAGCAGGTGAGGACCTGGGTGGTGGAGCCACTGCACCATATCTTTAGAGGAATATTGTTTCTTCTTTTCTTTTTAGAGTTATTTGTAATTCCCCCTTTGACCACAGGCTGCTCTGAGGCAATCTGGCTTCTGGTGTTATTTGGCCAGGAGATGCGTACTTGGATATACTGTAACTGAGCATAAATGTTTGGTTTGGGGGTTAGCAGGACAGTATATCTATGTATTTGTGCTAATCCAGAATATACAGTTTAGGTACTGTAGGTTTTAGAATGCACATATGAATGTTATAGTTTGGTAACCCATAATATCATTCAGAAAAGGCTACTGAACCAGCAGCATTTGCAGTCTACTCCCTTGCACAATTTTAAATAATCAGCAGTATCAGTGTAACAGCTGATTAATGGTTTGGAAGTGGCCCTGATCTACAGGGTGTTCTCCATTTCAGGTCTCGTGCTGTTCATATCCTTGTATTCTGAGCTCACTGCCCTCAGATCCTGAATCCCAATATGCTGTACACCAGTACTGCTTAACTCACTGCCTTCAGTCCCTCACTGTCTAACACTCCGACATACTAGAACACTCCAGACCACACTGGTTTCTTCAACTCAGCTGTTCTTTTTGACTATTTTCAAAAGGATCAGCCCTTACTAAGCTTTGCATGAATATGTCTTGCATTCACTAAGCTTTTCTATGGTTTTACTGTCATAGACAATTATAATATCATCATTTGCAATGAGAAATGCTCAAAGGAGCAAAGAATTGCCACCATTATTAACATTCCCTGGCACTATAATGGTCTAGGTTTCTGAAGTGCAGTCCAACCAAAAGAAAGGAAAGAGAAGAAAATTAGGATAAAGTGTGGAGGAAAACCATGGTAACAAGAGGTGTCAAAATTACCATATAAATTTGCCATGATGAGCTTTCATTAGGGTAGCTCAGGAACACATATAAATGTCACCTGGTGTGAAAGTACAGATCCTCTGAAGCTGTACTGTCTGAAGAGTTATTTGACAATCTAATTAAAACCAGGCAACAAAGTGATATCCACTTTGCAAAATAACCTGAAAGCCTCAATCTCAGAGTAACTAAATATTAAGGTTACCCAGGGTTCTTCTTTGAAAGGTCTAGCTTTCTCTTTTGACCTCCTGTTGTACATAAGACTTATTCTTCAGTGGGGATGTCTTGTTTAATAGAGGCTTTGATTGATTGATGACATGATCCAATGACACCTTTCTGCCAAGATACCCCTGCTCATTATGCCACGGTATACGCTAGCATTTGAATAGAACAAGCGGAAACCAAGAAATCAATTGATTTTTTCCCCAACCCCTTTTATAGCCTTACAAACTGCCAGCATTATCCCATCCTCGGATTATATGACTGGACATTCTAAACATGTACTTTTTGTTTCCTTGGTACTGAAAAAAAATACTAGGCATGTTCTGGGGCAACATGCATTATTGATATAACATGTTCAGCATAACTAGATTGTTTTTAATTACTCTTTTAATTTGCTCTAATAATTGAACCAAAAATAAAAGTAATAGCTGCATTTTGACAACCTCTCTTTCCCATGCTCCCCATGAACTGTAGTTCCCTATAATTTACCCATACACTCTAGATGGTACAGAAGCACATGTGCCGAGATAAGATGTTCAAGTAGGGAGTGCAGATTCAAACCTGCCACTGCCACTGCCACTGCCCACAGGAATGGTATTCATGACCCACTTTGGGTCCTAACCCAGAGTTTAAGAACACATGCTCTGAACCCATCAAGCTATTTCTTAACTTTCCTGGTTCCTGGGTAGCTATCTGTGTGAAAACAGCATGGGTTTTTACTGGGTGCTTCAGTGTTCTGTTATCATCCATGGATTTGTGACCCAAGATATACAAATTATAATACAGAAAACATATTTTAAGGAAATAGAATACTTTGTGTAGTACAGCACAATGGACAGATGTCTTAAGATGAGCAACAACAGAGTTCTGTAAGCTTCTGAAGAAGTTATGCACCCAGGTCAGTCACAATCAGTGGAAATAAATATATAAATAAATATGATACAGTAACCTATGATAGAGTGATGAATATGTGTATATGGAATTGAACCTATCTAAATGTCAGTTCTGTACTGTATAATCCAACTAATCTCATACGAGATTTAAGATATGTCTGCTTTCCATTGGCCCATGGGAGAAACTTTAAAGCATTATTAAAGTGACCCTGTTTAAATCTCTAAGCCCAAGAGAGGTATTCAATAGCTCTGTAGTGATATGGTAAGATATTGAATTGTATATAGCTGAATCAGATTCATTAAGTAGTATTGGATTAAGTAGTAAGAGACACATTATGTTTTTAGCTCATAGTACACCAAGGAGAGCTCAACTAAGAGATTTTTTTCTTCTCTGAACATTGAGCTGAGATAGAATCTTATTTTTATCATTGCCAGAAGCAGCATCTATGACTACTTATTAAAAATTCATTATAAAAAAGAAAATCCATAGGCAATTTTTTACCTCACTGGTCCTGCAGACAGTTTTCTCCTGTTGCTGCAAATGAGTGCAAATATAACCATGGATAAAATAACGTATGGCTGTGTGATTATAAATACTTTTATACAAAAGTGTGTATTAACTATTCCTGTTGGTTTTTTGTTTTGTAGTCTGGAGCTTCCTGGTTTGTTTTTCTATAAAAACCTGCACGCCTGTAGTACTTATTTAGTATATTAAAGTGAACAGCTTTACAGCCGCAATATGTAACAGCAGGCATGTGCCTAGCTTTGCTAGGTGTATAATTGTATGGCCTGACATAGAAGGCTGAAATGTGCACAATAGCTGTTGTTAAAAACAGTTCAGTTGTTTTGTAATACTTATTTTGATACCCTATATAGATGTTTACAGTGTTATGCCATAGAAAAAGCAGAGTACACTGCAAAGAGGTATGATCCAGAATTATATAATGACACATATCTATGACAGATCAAAGTAAAAGCTTGTCTTAAGTGTATATACAGCATCAAGTAAGAAAGTCATGAAATCCAAGTGCAGAAAATCTGATAACCATACTCTAGGTGACTCGATACGGGTAAAGATCGTAGAAGGCCACATCATTAGTGGCAGCCAAGCCTAGAGAGAGCAGCACTTTTAATCCTTCTTCTCAAACAATTTCAATGCAGGCAGCTGAGCGCTTGAGAAACTTGCCGGAGGAGCACTACAAAACTGCAGCGGCCGAGAAGCAATCTGGGGTGGACTGCTGAAGGAAGGTGAATGGGCAGCTCACGCACTTCTCTGCTCACTGATGAAAAAGCCACAGGATGGAAAGCCTCTCCATCTTCCATCAGGCAAATCCATCCTCTTTGCGGCATTAATCAAAATCAAACTGAAAGTTACCTCACGGGTTGTTGTGTCGATTGTTTGCAGTTCAATCTGTGATGAATGTTGTACTGAAGCAAAGGTGCCAGTTGATTGTTCCTGAAACAGAAGTCCACAGGAGAAATATACCCTCTAAATTAGTGGGCAAGCTGGGACTCTCCTCCACCTCCTTGTTTAATACAATAAACACATTTTGTGGGATTTGTAAGGCATTTTACAAATAGGCAACATTTTAGGCTTTTCTCATACAGAGTCCTAGGATAACATGAACTCATAATTAACTCAGTCATTAATTCAGGTCAAAATCAGGAGAAGCTGTCTTTGTAGCCTCTGCCTTGGATGAGGATCTTAGCTCAGGATTAAAAAAAATATTTCAGTTTAACTAGATAGTCTGATTAAGATAAATACTAATGCAGAATAAAAGTACATAATTTTTACATTTACAGAAACCTATAGTGCACCAGCACTATTCACTTGAACAGACTCGAGTTTCACTTTTAGAAATCCTAAAAATGTAAACAATTTAAAAATAAACTACATAATAGCAAATAAAATGTATTCAAAATCTCTGAAATGATGTTTTTTGCATTGTTTTTTGTTACCCATATTATAACCTAGACAAACACACACAGTATGTCATAGCCACCTTCTGAGGTTAAAGTAATTTTTTAAGATAACACAATTGCTATGAATTCTGGGTGTGAATATTAATTAGCTCTTAACACTTGAGAGATGGAAATGTCTTTCCATTTGTTATACATAGGGTCAATGTTTTTAGCTATGGACAATTGTTTCTTAAGGGTATCACACAGCACAAGATACAGTCCTGTCTCCCAGACTAATTTATATTTTGGTACGGAGCTGCATGTGGAATCAAACTAAACTTGTTTCTAATTTACATTCCTACCCATAATTCATACCATAAGATACCATACACCTGAAAGATATACCTTCCAAGATACTGTACATTTGTATTCCTGATTCACCGGTCAATGTTGGCTGCATTGCACTGATGAACCTTAATAAGGTAAAACAGGTGTCGACTTCTATTTCCATATAATGGTGTTGGAGAAAATGTTCCCGCTTCCCCTTAAAAGGCAGTCTGTCTCAGAAGTTAAAATAAGTTTCTTATTTAATGTGCATGGGAGTGAAAAATAGAGATGCTCGGTATATTTTTCTCAAAGTGATTAAATATTTTTTCTACTGTCACACTTCCCTGTGCTGATGAGATTGGCAGGATTCCAAGATCACACACATCTTCCTCTTCCCTATTTGCCACAGTATAGACCACATTGCTATTTAACACAGTATAGACCTACATATTAAACCTTGTGTCCAGCATTCTTCCATTCCAGTTCAAACCAGTTCTGTATGTTCACCCTATAAAATACTGCAGCATCAGCAGAAAAAAATGATGTACAAAGTACAAACACCCTCTTAACAATGAAAATTGGAATTCTGAGTCAATTCTATGACATTCTAGTCATTGGTCATTCTTTTTCCCAAGCTTTGCAATAAGGCATGTGATATTTCTCACCCATGATATAATAGATACTGTATTGTATATACTGTATATTCAACTAAGAGTTCATAATAGATTTGCCACTTAGTCCCATATTGCCAGGACACTCTTGATACAGAACAGAACTTGAAACAAATTGAATTAGATTAACTAAATTAATTGATCACTAAACTTTTACTACTGGCCTTGCATGATAATTCAGAGGTTTAGCTCTCATTTTCCAAGTACATTTTTTTCAGTTTCAGGACAACTTTAAAATCCACTTTTGTCTTAATGTGTCCAGGAATTACTGTACTAGGTGGCAGCCGTAGTCCAGAAATGCCCTAATGTAATCAATATGGAAGACTTTACAAAGACAGAAGTTTGTGGATGTACCTTGGGAAGACCCTTATCCAAAAGTGGATAGATGATGTTTTGAAGATAATATAGAGATAATAGTTTTCTTTAAGTCCAAGAACGACATTTTCCAGTACATTTTTTTTATCAGGATCTGTTTCCCCTGGGCTGGGAGCAGATCATGTCGTGGCATTGTCACTAGCAACCAGTGTATTCGCAGGAGGTCTCAGTCCCAGTCTGACCCCATGAGAATGCAGTCGGTCGTGAAACGTTTCCAGAAGGCTGTTAAGTTTTCAATCAGATGGCCTATAATTCAGTTATCTGCTCCAGGAGCAGACTATTTAAGCCTTTCTCTTTGCTCACTTCATGGCTCTGACATTCTGTTATTCTGATTAGGGCTATGATGAATAGCAAGGCTCACTCCATCCAAAGATCCCCAAGGTTGGTCTGAGACCCTGTGCTTGGAGCTCAGCTTGTATTCACCACGGCCCTGATCTTCAGGGACCACAGCAAAACAGGATAATCTTTTATGTGGTTTTAGTCATATTTACACTGGAGTATCAGTGAACCTAACCTACACATTGACTTATTTTTGTTTTCAATTTGACTTCTAACATATCATTCTCTATCTAATCTGCTTGCCTTGATTAATTTTGAAAATGACAATATGTGCATGTGGTAAATCTCAGAAACACATGCATAATTTATTTACAGGAACACAAGAGTTAAAATAAGGAATTATCAGGCTGTTCAGAAATTATTGACATTCTGTGAGCCCCAGTTATAAAATAAATAAAAAAAACATTATCTACTTTTCTTATTGGCTTAGGGCATTTCCATTTCTTATTTATTGCCATTGCTCACTCACTGCTTACTGTTTGCCTGTAACAACTTTAGCTCAGCTCTGACTGAGCTGGCTGTACAAAATGATAATCACAATTTGGAACCCCTAAACTGGAATTTTGATGGTATTGAATTCGGAGATGAACTCGATGAAATACACTGATCACCTTCTTATTTTCTCCTTTATTTTATTTCTTGGCAATTAATATATAGTGTTTTGACATATAGACATACTGTATTCCTCACTGTGAAATGTCTTTTCATACGTCATATTATTTCCACAAATGTCACAATTGAGTTTTAATGATGGTGCTCTAATTTTCATTATGGACGGAAGTCTTAGTACCTCTGTGTCTTAGACAGGGCAAGTTCTGATTTTTGTTTAGAGGTTGATAAACTGAGTTACCTGTGAGAGCCTCAGATTTTCTAGTCCTCTGGACGGAGAATAAATGGTTATGAAGGTTCTGGCACCCAGTAAGGATGTCCTCAATGTGATTTTTCCCCTGATGCTTGACCAGACATATCCCACTGGGCAGAGACCTGAAAGCCGACCAAGGACACAGTGGAGGAACTATATCTTTGTCCTTGTTTTGGAATCTCCCGGGAAGAAGGAGAACGATGTCCAGTCCTCCATAATTGACAGACTGTCACTGTAATCCTCACCATGACAAGTGGACTGAAAATGGTTGGATTAGCATTAGGACCCCTTAATGAAATGGCCTGAGCATTATTTCTGTCTGTATCACATAGTTTGTGTTGTCATTGTTTGTTTTGTTTAACATATTCTAAAAGATGACAAATGAAGTGCCAATCTCACTGCTGATTGCAAACTCAGTGTGTGGAGCTAAATCCTGTTACTCTGTGCAATTCAGAAGTGAACTGGAAAATCCAATCTTAAATTTATGTTAGTTGTAAACAGCAATCCTGGAAAGGTATTGCAGTTCAAGCCAATATTTAGTGTGGTGTGTTCAGAAAATAACAACAGTTTTTATGGGGTTTAATTGCACACTGAAACTATAATTTGCTATACAGATTTGACATGAAGAACTATAAAATGTTTATTTACTGTAGTAGGGAAAATAATACAGTACATACAGTACGCTGTTCAAATAATGAGGAATGTTAAATTTCTGACAAATATTAATCTGTTCTGCAAGAAAAATATCAACCAGGAGATCATAATAAAATAAAAAGTGTGTGTGTTATTCAAAGTCACATTTTTGTGTTTTTGATATATTGTCATGTTTCCTGTTATTTGCAAAAGAGTGGCACATTTTTATCTACAACTGAAGAAAAAAAACTATCCTGACATGTTTTCTCTAATGTTTAATACAGTGTCTGTTGTGACATTCTGCTTTTGGCAACATTCTTTTTTCATTACATTCTGCCATTATTTAAAGTTGCATTTCAGGTAATATACCAATCTGTCATTGGAACTGGTGTATGTTAAAGAAAAAATATTCACATATCATAAGCAGTAGTGTGAAAATTTATTAGAACACTTTAAGATTTGTCATTACATACAAAATTGCCTTCAGTTACTGCAGAAGTTGGTTAAGAATTTTTGCAGTCATCTAAAAAGTTTTGTATTTTTTTAACATATAAAATCTGGGGCACATGGGTTCTTCCCACATGGACTGAAATGGTAGATCTGAAGGCTGCAATATTTAAGCAGACCTATGATTCCATCCATTTTGTGAAGATGCCTAACACCAAACATGTAAGTCACGTGCATTTGGTTATATTTTCCAACACAGTTATTTTTCTCTTACCTTTCACTCTTTTAAAAGTCAGGAAGTTCCGTGTTTACAGGACTCAAGGATTTTCTGTTACAGTGGTTCCTGAAGTGACATTGTGATTCTGAATTGATTTGGTAAACCCAGTTTCCAATGGAAGTCTGAAGATTTTTTTCTACTATGGTTTTTGGGATTCCATAAAATTGCCACTTGGAAAAGGAATCACATTTCTGGCATGTGACAGTGACAGTGTGCAGAGGGGAATGTAGCCAGGCTGCCCAAATACCCGACTTCAATGCCCTTTTTTTAAGAAAGGCACTGTTAAAGCTTCGTAATTAAAGCTTCTCACTGGACTCATGCTTTGCCAGTTCAATTACAGGCTTGACAAATTGGTTCCTTTTTTATTGTTGCTAATTACTTTCTCCCTTAATCCCTTTAGCTCTACCAGCCCAGTTACTTCGGTCTGGCTGGCTGTACTTCTCATGCTGTTTTCCTGTTCCACCCTGCAATTGCATGTCATGCCAGGCAGCCAGCCAACTTGACGTGTTGTTCCCAGAGGCTCTATTTAAATCGCATTTGAAGCCATGCAGTAGACCTTTAAAGATGATGTAAGGAGCAATTTTCTTTCAATTTGTTTTGATCCCCAATTATTTTGCATTTAATACCTCCAACAGGTTTTCAAATCTGAAATTGTTAATCAGCTTGGCTTCACTAGGATCTTTGTACCAGTACAGGAGGGGTGAGGACCAAACACAGTAAACTTTCCACTAAAACAAGAACTTGTCTGGGTCATTGTGCTTTCACACTGTGAACCTCATAGCACCTACAGGAAAGTAAGCAGTAATTGGAGAAGTAATCTGAGTCTTCCTGAACCAGAATCATGTTTCTGGTGTTGCTGTTCTGGAGCAAACCTAAGATAACCTATTAAGCTCAGGTCTTCCCAACCCCTGACTCATCTGCACTGACATTGGGACAATTGAATGTTGACAACTGTGAATCCTATTCACAATCAATTAATCATATCAGAAATGTGCAGAGCAGATGTGAAATGGAAATAGTTCTACTATATGGATTAACCAGCATTCTGAGAGTCTTTACTGGTTGAACTGCTTTGGATTCAATGGGAAGCTCTCATAAGAAAAAGCAAAGCACAGACTAGAACTGCAAACAGTTTTGATGGCTCCTGAGAAATTTCCATTGTCATGAAGCTATTGTAAAGTAATGTGCAAGAAAGATTGTTAAGGAGTAGATGTTGGAGATCTATATGTTTCTGTGGATAGGCACTACACCTGAAGTGGTGACCTTCTGTCCTCTGATAGCTAAATATCACTGTACCTGTGCAAACACCTCAAATAATCTTTGATCACGCCCCTTTTATCCCTGTTATACTGTAGCCTACAGTGGAGGAAAGTCCTTTTCTAAATATGGGACACTATTTATTAGAAGACCCTATAGCACACAACAGTATTAATCTTCTTGAGGGTAGTTTGCTGACCAGAAAATAAAGAGGGGTGCTGGTAAATTAACAAAGTCACAAATTTGTATTAGTAGTGACATTTTTCATGTCAAATGACCCTTTATGGGACTTGTAATGGATAATTGCCAGTATTAATTGGCATAGATGATGTTCCACCGTGAGGCCTTTTGCATTTTTCTGAATTAGCCCTGGGCAGTGCACCCTGGGATAGCTCTCCATTACCTCTCTTCTGCTGAACATTTCAGGCATGAAGAACTTTAGTTTTTCAGAAGCCTTTTCATTAATTCTATGGTACGGTTAATAATTTTCACTATAAATTCTTTTTTGACAACTACTGCTTGTGAGATGATTTATGTAAAGAACAATGAGACAAGACACGCTGCAGAACAAGCGATCACAGGTCTTTGCCCTTTTTGTATTGCATACTTTACCATACATCAGCTTTTCACATAATGTATAACATCTCTGACAGCAGCTGTTTATAATATATCCTTCTCTTGACTCTAAATAATATTTTATACTGCTCTACATGCTTTCAGGTAAGGAATTGGATGACTAAATTCAGAGTCTGAGTGTCCCTGGGCATGTGTCCTCTATATTTTTGTGCTTTATGTCCATGTTCTTAACCACTTTTAATTTAGACCAGAGGGCCTCCTCTTGGTTTTCCTGAAAATTGTATGTCCAATTATATGATGCATCATCATTTTGTTTCACATCCTAGAATATGTCATGGAAATTAGGTCCTGTATTTTTCTATTTTGAGATTTTCTCTCTCTGGTCCTGCCTGCAATACCTTGAAGAGTTCTCAGTCACTTTATATATCTGCTCATGATACTACAAGAAAGACCATTTGACTTGTATACTTTAATTATTGTATCACCTATGATGTTCTAGATTAAAAAAAACATTGCACTCAGAAGGATCCTTTGAGTATGTTCACAAGTTCACTTATACAGGAAGATGTAACATGCAGAGAACACAAAGATTCTTTAGGTTTTATTCACCTGTACAAATATAACTATACTAAAAGTAGTAAAGTGCAGTGTTTTTATATTAAATAACACAGGAAACTAAAATCATGCATTGCAAATGCAGTTCATATGGATTGCAGATGTAGTTCAATTACAATTACAGATTCCTTGCAGTTTCTGTGCTGTAGTGCCGGTGATGGTGACTGGGCACACAAACATTAAAGAATGATACATACTGTAACAGCATCACATAATTCGTAATCCCACAGGGTTCAGTCTATTAAGATTTTAATGGCCCAGGCAGGGGACATTATTAGGCCATTACACACAATTCAAGACGGTCTTTAAAGCATATCCACATGACCCATTTCATTTCAGCTGCTACATGCACCACAAGCCCAATCAATTACATGAATCATGTATACACATGCTTTGTGTTCAAAGTTGCCTCCACTCCATCCATTGTTTGCTTGTAGGCTTTTTTGGTTGGGGAAATGGTATCTAAACTGTCCCCCTCCCAGGACTAGTCTAAGGACAAGTACATTAGGCATCATCAAATAACCTGGTCTTAAAGTAATAGCAAATCTTAGGTTAGTGAAGGGAATCTCTTATGTCCTTACCCGAAGAGACAATAAGGCAACCTAATACTAGTGTTTAATGTTTAAGCATTTTACAGAGGCTACATAGGACTGCATAGTGTTATTCACAATCCTTTAGGATACGTTTTGTGAAAGATAGAGTATAACAGGCAATTGCCATGACATTTAGCTTCTCGAGCGGTTATGCATCTGCATTTTGCTCATTAACTCATTGCTGCCAAAGCTTCTACAAGATGAAATTGAAGTGATAAAATTATGCCTTCATCAAATAGAAATTAACTGAAGAGCTTGACTACATCCACCTGAATAGGCAACTCCAATAGACAAGTATTTCAGCAGAGAATTAATGCAACTTGTAACAAAACATAAAATAATGCACTTGTAGTCTCCAAGCTTTTTTCTAGAGTGATTAAGAGATCAATTTTCCTAGAAGTATTATTTTTTAGAAGCTGCAAACAGGAAGGAACACTTGTTTATGTCTTAGTTTTTCTAAGATGTTTTTTTCACTCAGTCCTCTGAATAATTTGTGCTTCCTTCTTGGCAGTCATTAAATATGGCATTTAAACATTCAGCATCTATTAAAAATGACATTTCAACACATTTGCTTTTCTCAATTTCTTATTTCAATAACAGGGTAATTCTGAACTGCTTAAAGAAAACATTTGGAGTTTTATTTTTATCAGGTATTCAGAAATAAAGTTGTTTTCTTACGCATCAATGTTTAATTTAATTTATATTTTTCACATTTGTGTTGAAATAAATCTCAGCCTAATAAAAAGCTTTTACATGTTTGCAAACTGTTTTTACACCATAAAGATGACAGATAATGGTATTTTATTTTGGTGACACAGTGGCAAAGTGGTTAGCATTGTTACTTTGCAATGCCCTGGGTTCAATTCTAGTGTGCTACCTGCATGGAGTTTATATGTTCTCCCCATGTCCATGATCCTGGTGGGGTCCCTCCAGGTGCTTCAATATCCTCCCACAGTCCATAGACATACTGGTAGGTTAATCGGCTCTTGGGAAAATTGGCCCTGGTGTGAGTACAGTATGTTTCTGTCTGTGTTTGTGTGTCTGCTTCTGCCCTGTGATGGACTGGTATCCCATACAGGCTGGATCCTGTCTTGCAGCCATTGCGTGCCGGATAGATTACGGCTCCCCTGTAACCCTAATGGATGGATGGTATCTTATTTAATAGTCTAAAAAAGTTCTCAATTAGTATGAGTTCAAATTTAATTCCTGGTAAGAAGAAGGACACATCTAGCCCATTTGGTAGTTAGTAGCTTAGTGATCCAACGATCTCATGCAGCAGTTTCCTGCAAGAAAAAACAGGATACCATCTTCCAGAACATGGCTGGGTAGCTTGTTCTAAACTTTAACTGCACCTCTACATATTTTATGCTTGTACCCTCTGGTAAGCTTAGTATTTCACCGGTCAAGGTAAAAGTGTTTAATGCACAGAGCTTCCTGGCATGTGTTGCTGAATTCTTGTATGGTACCCTGCGTAAGTAAATGAAATGTTTTCCTGTTCTAGCCCTTTCAGCAGCAACTATTGATGCACAGTTCATGTGTTCTCTGTAAACTGCTTTGAATAAAAGTGTTTGTTAAATTACTTATTTTTATCACCAAATCATAACCATCCTGCAGCAAGAAGCACATAACCAAGAGGCAGTGAATATCCAAGAAGTGACATTGCAATTTCTCTGCAATTTCACCTCTACTCACATTGCAGACATGACTGCCATGCTGAGAGCTGAAAAAAACCCCAACAACTTTCTACCCAATATCTAGAAACATCAAGGATAAAATGATACAGTGAATTACATTTTAAAAAACGTGACTGTTTAACTCTGTGTGTGCCTGTGGTCATATATGTGGATTTCCTGTATGGATCATTTAATCAGCATGGCTTTAAATTGCTCAAAATGACCATGGGAATGACTTCAAAATAATATAAAGTAAACAATTTCATTACTGAATGATATCCAAAATCCCCCCAAAATATTGATTTTCGATACACACACTCTTTTGCTCCAGATGTAAAGAAGCCTGCATTAACCTATTTTTTATGGGGCTTAATTGTATTTATTGCAGTTTGAATTTGAATTGCCTTCCCAGTTTATAAAAATAGAATAGTCTTTTATGAGAGATGAAGATAAGATATACACAGCATTTAGTTACACAGTCTTCATCAATATTTTCATCATTAGAATAATGTATCCAAAGAGTATTTTTGACCCACAAGATGCAGTATTCCAAACTTTCAAGTTAAATTCACATACATATAGAACATGTGTGATCTTTTGTTTTAGGGACAAATGCACAAAGACTCTTTCTCAATATTACTGTTTGTTTTTAAGATTTTGTAAATATATTGTCTAAACACACATTTGTTAATGAATGTCCTTGAGAGTCATCAGGGCCATCCCTAGGAGAACTAGGCGACTGCCTAGGGCCTCCGGCCGCCAGGGGGGCCCTCAATGTGCAAAACAACGTGTTTTTAAATGGTTCGTTGAACTGTTAGCGAAAAATTCCTACAGTATAAAGCGGCTCTTCCTGTTACTGGTACGGATTATTGTAATGGAAACCTATTAAAAAAATTACCAATGATAATCCAGTACTTAATGTTTCTGTAGCGCAGAAAAGAAGAGTGAGATAAGCGATCTCAAAACACAGGTACGCCAAATCAAGTCATTATAATAATGCACAATAATGCGTAATAATGTAATAATTTGTATTTGATTTGAATTTGAATTTGGTTTTGAGTCTGTCAGTTTCACGTAACTAGCGAATGTCACATTCTCAAGATAGACACGTAGACTGCTTGAAGTGTTTTTACTAAAGTTTACAGATTCGCGTTTCCAGCAATGGTATACATGCCGTGTGGATCGGCTGGATGAAAATCGGCGCTGCCCAGCCATACTAAATCGCGTAAGCAAATGTACAGCACAAAAGACTTTAAAACGCGCTATTTTCCTTTCGGTTTCTCCTGCATTTCATTAAATGGGGTTATGTGAACTCAACCTGTAGCCCTTCGGATTGCAGTCTCTCCCTGTGACAGCGGAGGGGGCAGAAGAGGAGCTTTTCTGAGCTCACGTCGATTAAACATACCTGAGGTCGACAAGATAGGGAAATTGATTTATATAGAACGTTTTTAATATGTTTCCCAGCTGCCGAGCCTAACTGATCTCACCTCCCATGTTATTGAATGTATTTGTTTTTTTGTGTGTTTTTCTTAATTTCATATCAATTTCTGCAGTTTCTTTCTGCAAAGGTTTCAATGCAGTAATTTGTAAGTTATGTTACAATTTGTAACTGTTTATCATTATTTATTGTTATTAATATTTCTTTTTATTACTTTTAATGTTAAAATACGTCATCTTTGTGAAATGTGTGTCTCGTGTTCCTGTTTAAAAGTTATGTGTTCTTCAAAGTTGGTTTAAACTAAAAAATTAGTTTTCTAGTTATATAATTTATTGTTACTAAAATAAGGTTTCACAGTATATTATAGTAAAATAAGGTTGTGTTTTGAGCTATTAATAGATGTGTATGTGCAAAAAGTGACCCCTTTCTGGGGTCTTGCCTAGGGCCCCCTTAAAGCTAGGGTCTGTCCCTGAGGGTCATTAACATACCTTAACGTCAGTTGCTCCCCTCTTCATTTTATTTACAGCTGTTCATTTTTATTTACAGTCTATTTACAGTCTACTCGATGGTGAGCTGAGGGAGAGGCCAGCTTTAAAGGGATGTGTCAAAACGTACTTAAAAACAGGGCAAAGGGGACCATGCCATCAATTACAAGTGTAAGTCATAATTTTACTGTATATTGCAGTACATTGGAAATGCTCACAAACAATCACTTTTACATGTACTGTATTTAAATCCAAAAAAAGAAATATCTGCTTCATGTACTGTATGATGAATCCTGATTCTGATGGTGTTTCGTGAAACAAGTCTCCAGGATCATATTATGTAACAATTTTGTAATAAAACTTTAATATTATGTTGATGTCATAAAGGTAATTATCTGTGTTGGATAGTAGTCATAGTTAAGCAGTAAAAATACATATACCAAGGAATAATAATACTCCTTTGTGCATTGATTCTTGGTGAAATTGGCTAATACCAAAACTCGAAGGTATTTTGCAGCATTGCAGAGAGAACACAAGAAACCACTGACATTTTTATATCCATACTATAAGAAATATCCATGAGCCCCTGGCTCTGTTTTAAGTTGGATCATCGATGGACAAATACAAAAATCTGCAGACCTAATTATTTTTCCAGTTAAAGCAAATCTCGAGTTGCCATAAAATTGCTTGCATTATCGGCAGCAATAAATCGGCAAGATACATATTACTGGAATTGCCGGCAATACTAAAGGAGTAATGATGTAATATCAAAAAAGCAATAATCAGTTTAGTAAAACTATTTATAAAAGATGTATTAAAACAATATTTTGCTTTAGCTTTGCGGTGGTGTACAGTGAATGTATGGTTTTCTACACTTGTCAACCATCTGATGCAATGCTGGGGGAAGGCTGAACCCAATGGACTTTTTCGGGATCAAGAGTGAAACACAAACAGGAGCTACTGTATGGGAAAGCACATTTAGAACTGAGAACAGGAAGCTTTGATGTACACAAAGGTGTGTGGGAGACTGGAACAATCTACTGTACCTAGCCACATTGTTGATGTTGAAACCCTGGCTTCTTGGTAGAAATGAAAGGATAAGCTCTTTGGGTCAACCAAATGAGCTAGAAGTAAGTAAAGGCTCTTACTGTGCTGTGTGTGCTTCTGTTTCTGCCTGATTCAGCTATGGCTCAGAAGCTGCTATTAAAGATTAGGCAGCCATGTTTGAATAAATGTAAGTTGGGTAGCCCAATTTACCCACACATACATGTGGGTAGTGGAAATGAGTAATTCAAATAGAGCCAGTCTCAGTATTATTTCTTGAGAGCCTTTCTAGACTACAGTAAATGTACTTAATTTGAGCAGCAGTTCTTTCTAAAGCTAAAGAATCAATCCCTCAGTCAAAAAAAACCCATTACCAAATCCAAGAATTTACTGAAGGACAATGAGGGGAAGGATTAAGCTTTTAAAAAAGCAATTTCTTGTGAAATGTTTGAAGCATTCAGGCAACGCAACAGATTATAGAGTATATTTGTTCCCTTTTCAATTGCTTTCAGTGTTTTCTGAGTAGAGTATACAATATTTTATTCCTTAGTCAGCTTAATCAACAGTCAGGGGGGTATATTCATTTAATTAGGTGGGGAATAAGAGCTTGATGCCATAAAAGACTAAAAAGTATAATGTCTCTTTACAGACTGAACTGTTTTATTGAATTGCATTCTGCCAATTTCCCCATCTGTTCTCTATGCAGACTGGTACATGGCTTTAATAATGTTTGTTTAGAGCAAGAACCAGCCAGCTATTAAAACATAATAACATATTTCCTAAACCTCTCTTGTAAAACATAACTGTCATGAGCCTAAATACATGTTTATCGGTTAGAGTTTTACAGCTCTGGGAATTCATAAAAGGGAAGTATCATTAATTTTGACTTTTAAGCAAATTGATTCCTATTGCATCTCATGCATTGCTAATCAGAACATGGTGTCCTGGTTTAGTGTTAAACTTTTTTATTAATACATTCTGTACTTTGTGTTCGAATTTCAGTGTCTTTCAAATAACTGTAAAATTATAACTGTTAAAGGATTATGCACTTTTATCCCTGCATGTGTCCGTTATTCTAAAGTAATATAGCATAAAATAACACAGCAGTTATGTTCTTAACAAAATTCTTGTTTAACTTGGTATGACAGTGCGAGAGATTTCCTAACATTGACTTTTTAAGGACTGAATGTCAGCATATTGTTAAAACAATGACAAAGATGCTAAATGGCAATGATGTAAAGAAATGCTGGTATATTGCATTTATTTTTTATGGATTAAAGCATTTGTTCACACTTTTACAGTCCTTGTTTGCCTGAGAGCCTCCTGGGTCCAGTCCTTCTGTGCTCCTCATTAATTTAATTCAACCAATTAGTTACCCCACTGAACTCATTTAACACCTTTTCAGGCCCTAACAAAATGTTATTTAAAGGTACGCCATAAAACAGCCCTAGAGGATTGACTTGATTCTTTTCCAGAATTTATGGAGCAAATTTTTTTACTCTTGGGAAAAATGTGTGGAAATGGCATTGCATTTGTGTTGTTAAACTTTGCCGTTTATCACACAGGTACATTTCATTTACAAGGTGTGAAAACTGCAAGTGTCCCTGTAATAATGATCTAGAGAAGGTACACTGGGAAAATGAATGTTTAGTTTAAGATCAAGATATATCGTAAGTCTGTTCCTTACAGATACTAGGCATGGTTGTTATCACCAACATAAAATTAAAATCAACAGCTGCAGATGGTAAGCAAGCAGCACTTCAGTACGGGGGGGGAATTCATGCATAATGCCCTTATAATCAGTAATACCTGAAAAGGCTTATTTATGCAGTGTCAGCAGCCTGATATTAAGTAGTTCTCGCCAATGATTGTTTGGTTATTAACTGAAGTCATATACTGTATTTGTCATTTACAAATATTTTATTAATGCCTATTTTGGTACTAACAACTGTGTTTGCTATGTGATTATAAAGCAAGATTTGCACTTAAAGCGATATCAGAGAAGCTGTAGACAAAGTGAATTATTGGTCTTTAGGATTGAACTTGTTCTGAGTATAAAATGACTCACATTTCTAATGATAGCATCTTGGAACCTGCCAGTTTTACAAGGATTCTACTGTAGCTCCTTTCAGCTGTGTGCTAAATGATTTCTCCAGTAATCTTTTAAGGTAATTTCATTACTATGCTGCCCTGTAACTGTGCTTTTAGTACAAAAGTCATTCCACTGGTTATGAAGGGAATACAAAACTGACATTTGTTTCAAATTAAATTTGTGAATAAGATTATATTGAAATAATTTTTACTTCTCCCTCATAAAATATTTTTGATATTTCTGATAATCTTATTCTTTATTCTGACAGATGTCAGTTTGCTGTTCTGTTTACTAGGAATGGGTAGGTACAGTAGTTAAATATCCAATTGTGTGTACTGCTGACAGAAAACATTAAAAAATATCTGAAATATTACCCCAAATTGGGTAATTTATTAAAGCACTGAAAGTTCTATGGCTTTTACTACTGTATATCTCAGTTCCATCACATTCTGTAAATAGTTCAGGTTTTTAATTCTAATCGGGTTACTGTCTGTTTTGTTGAGGGTATTTAATGAATACTGCTGTTTTTCAATTGTTCCCCCACTAGAACAGAAACGGCATCACTTCAAAAACATGTGACAAAATAATTGTGAATTCAAACCAAAAATCTAGTATGCCGTACAGTATAATTTACCTCTTAATTCCATACTTTCCTACTGACTTTTATCTATACAACATTTTAGTAGAGTTAGGTGGAACAGCTAAAATCTGAAAATGCCATCTAAAATGACCATTTGCCTAACCCGTTTAGAATCACGAATTTTAATCCATTTTATCACTACAAAACTTGCACCAGAATGAGAAAGGTAAGGACCATGCTTGCTGAATATTAAAACTATAACAGCTGCAGCAATGAGTAAGACCTCATTTAGAATATGGTGAACAGTTTTGGTCATTGCTTTGCAAAAATAAAAAATGCTGCTCTGGAATGACTCCAGAGTCGTATCTAATTACAGCCCCGATAAAATAAACCATTACGCAAAAGGCGCTGGGAGTATGGACAAACTATTTAGCCATGTTGATGATGAAGATATCATTGATTCTTCCTAGAAACAGCTAGCATTGGATTGGAACACTGGTTGAAATCTTTGTTTCTATAAAAAAAACAACTGAATACAGTATATGGACAAGTGACCTCCTCTTGTAAATGTTTAGTGTATTTGTATGCTCTTTCCTATGAAACAGTTACTATCAATGCCAGTCACTGGATTTCACAATGGAAGCCCCACACTTGCTACAGCAGAGTTAGCAGCAGCTAGAGGAAGTCATGCAGCTGTCCTTGACTGTACTACAGACTCACAGGCACCAGGTGAATCACAGATGTTACACAGCTAAGCCCAGGGCACCCTCAGTGACTCAACTTGCTTATCTCTGGAACCAGTTGGGCAATTGTGTGCTGCTGCTGGAAGATTCGAAGTCACAGCTGACTAATTACATAAGCCAGACCTAAGATTTCGATTGTAGTGCTTGACTGTGTTATGTATTTTAGAAGACGTTGTTGATGTTTGCCATAGAAATAGCCAAACAACTGTAACATTTGGTAACATGACAGGAACTCGAATATTTGAACCACGTTTTAAATCCCTTTTCAAACTTTGTGAAATTTGAAGGAATAAGTTTTACTGAATTCCTCAGTATACCACTAAAGATTAATTACAGGTGCAGTTAGGTTGGACGTAGGTATTTTCTTACATACCAGGTTGTAGATAGCAAGAAGAAGCCCTATTGCCGAGGGTGATTGTTGGATCCTTGAAGAACTGGTTTGAAAAGATTATGCGATCAATAAGTTATATGAGAAGCCAAATGAGAAACAAAGGGCATCAGCTGCCTATTTGTCAAGTCATATCTTTCTACAGAAAAGCACGTGGGGATCCAAGCACCGACATACTTTTCCAGAGAAAATTTCCCAAAGCCAAGTACATTCAAGCATGTACAAATATTAATAACTTTTATATTTTGTATATACAGTATATTTGCAATATAATCCTCATAATCCTAACAAGTGCTTGGGTATGTGTAACTGTGTTATGACATTCACTTTACGTGTAATTCAAAGCTCTAGATTAGGTGTTAGTGGAGAACTATATACCATTATGTGCCTAAGATTATGTGTGTGAAAGAATTGTAGAAGTAGCATCCATAACATTTTAAAAACGGCAGAGATTTTGGTTTTAGTAATCCCTGTATGAATAATCATTGAATAGAAAGACATTGCTTCTTTTGCAAATAGTACTGCAAGAAGTACATTTTTTCAGTGAGGATTTCCTGAAAAAGTGTTCCTGGCTTGTTATCCGTGATGTGTGCGGCTTACCCAGATCTAGCATGCGAGCAATTAGAAACCCGTGTGAATTATGTATGACCATTACCATCATGTTAAAAGCAATGCCACCAGTGAGACGGCTGTATTCCTACTCCGAGTGGGAGTATTAATGATACAGTTTATGCGATTCACTTTCCAGGGAATTTACGTCGGGAACTGCCTGGAGGGTTTAAGATAAGGGGGATATCTGTGGCATCTGTTTACCCCGAGTGCAGCTTTGAAAGCAAAACCACAAAACAAGCAGTACCTAAAGGATCTCATAAGGAGCCCATGCATTACGGAGAGACCCAGACCCAGCTGCTGCTGTGGGGATTGAATGCATTTTAAAGTAATGTGCACATGTTGCCTATCAGATCGTGTCAGTGTTAAATGAGGCAGGCAGTCACACACTTGCATTGCACCCTAAATACAGATAGTTAAGAAACAAGTGCCACACAGGCAGTTGAGGAAATAAGCGATTAATTAAGATGGGGAATAAATGGCAATTAGCTACAAAATACTCCTTCAAAGCACCTTTTAATCTGTTAGATGAATCTGGACCACCACAGAGTTACATATCCAGACCTATTCTTTTTAATTCTTTTTAATTCCTAAACATGAAAATAGTGTGCGTTTCTGTTGTTGTACTGCATTTGTTAGTATTATCAAGGTACCCTAAGACAGCTTATTGTTTTCAGTTGTGCTCAAATTTTCTTTATAGGTTTGTTTGCTATGGCTTTCATTCCAAATAAAAATGGAGCAAGCCTAATTTAATTTTTTTTATTTTCAGAGTGTCATACAACAAAAGGAACACATTTTTTAAAGGGGGCGGTGACTTTCTATACCCACTTTAAATCTTGCACGTAGAGGAAACATTTGTTCGCAGTCCTTGTGTTTTATGATACAGATTTATAAATGTATAGGTTTTTTTAAAAAGTTTAGACATCAAGCCAGAAACTTTGCTGTTAAATGATTTGAATAAGCTTGCAATATGAATTGAACTTGAAAGAAGTCTATCCTTTATCTGTTGTTTTTTTAAATCAACTCCAGTCATGATGGCATTTTTTGTTTGAGTTTAATCTGAAAATTATTTGAGCTACATTTTTGCTACATTTTTATTTTTTACAAATTGAATTCCAGACTCTTGGCATGAAAAGCAATCTAGTTGTGAGTGACAACACTGTGCTGTGATAATGAAATGTTGTAACAGACTGATGTCATCCAAAAAAATCAATTTCTTTAAAAGCCTCTAAGGTGCACTTTTATTTGCACATTTTGAATACTGTATACA